TTCTGCAACAAATCATCAGATGGCTACAGCCAAAATGTTGCAGTACAGAGGTAAAAAAGCCTGAAGAGGGGACTTCTAGACTGGAAATTCAATTTAACCAAACCTTTCGAAGTAATTTTACTTTTGGTATGATAACAGAGGCTCATTCAATACAAGTTACCATACTGGGTTGAGCAGTATCAGCATTCCTAAGCAGCACTCAGTCGTCAGTATCTACTGCCATAGTTCAAGCAAAACCCTTTGTAGTTTTGCTTTTGTTTAGGCAAAGATTTAGTACTCGCCTGCCCAGGGAGCCCTGGAGGCAACGCTCACCCTGTGCCGGCTGATCTGCATCATTCTTCTTGAGCCTCCTCCCCGTTTTTCCCTTAAGAGGATTATTTGACTGAACATTTAGAACACGCTAGGAACATCATACTCCCCGAGAAACTAAAGGCTAGCTCTGAAGGAATTACCTCATACACTACCAATTTTAAATGATCAAATATTTCCTTATTATAAAAAGGTGATAGGAAGACACATCATTTTCTTTTTCCCCTTCAAGTGAGAGTTAAGCGTAGCAGCCACAGCACCCGCAGTCCTCGCCCACCACGTAGCCACAGCCAGCTCAGCCTTCACTCCGACTTTCACCTTTCACCATCATGAACAGGACGAGATACAGCAAACCCCGTCTCAGACCATTCGCTCCACGAGGGAAACTCCCCGACGGAGCCAAGCGACCGCAGCGTGAACGCCGTGCGTGCCTGCCTCGCGCCACGCCAACCGAGAACCGCCAGAAAAAGCATCCCACGGACTCCTCCGCTGCACGGCCGCAAGAAACAGCACCTTCCCTCGGCTTCTTTCTTCTGCTGAGCTCACCGCAATGCCAGACACTGGGCATGGGACAAGGGTTGATTTACAGATGAGGATCCCTTCGCTGTGTGGGCTCCTCCAAACGGCCACGCCAGGGGAAGGGAGTCCTTCACGCCGCCGAGCGTCAGCAGAACGCAGCCTGTCGAAGCAGGGACACGCACCTCGTACCCACCGTCCTCCTGCGGCTCCCGCCACGCGCTGTGAAACCGGGCTTCGGGCGCACACGGGAACCTAAACCTTCTTACCGCCGTGTCTGTTCAACCTTGCCTCCCCAACGATGTAGGCTTTGGGGGAAAAAAAAACTGGGAAAGAAATGAGTTTACCTGAATAGAAGCCTGGAAGTTACGGCGGGTAAAAACTCAGCCCCTGTGAACCACAACCAAACGACAATACCAGTTTGTTCTACTTCCCTGCTCCCGATGGGTACCCAGCTAAGAGGATCCAAACTTATGAACCTCCTGCAGCAACCTGGACACGCGGATCCAGTGGGAAGACACCAGCACTGCCGGGGCTGTAAGAGCGGCGAGCAGGGTGAAGCTGCATCCGCAGTGA